ATATTTTTTGTCTTCTTAGTTAAAGTTTTGCTACTTTCTATCTGCAGATGCAAAAAAAGAAAAAAAAAAGGCTCAACTTCAAACTTGGGATATCAAAATAACTAAGTTTGTGTTTACAACTCTGATGGTGTAATCATAATTCCTAATGCTTAAGAAACAATAACATTAGTGAAGTGAACTCAACTCTAAATTAAAAGTCAGTGTTTCCATTACCCACCCCAACAGAGTTTATATAACTTGATCATTAAAAAATGCTTGAGGCTGAAAACCTGGTCTGTGTCAATCTTGGACTAAACTGGTTTGCAAGACTCTGAAGTTTGTTTGTCCTTCTTTTTTAATCCCTTTTCAGAAATGTATTAATTTTAAATGTTACTCATGAAACTGAACTCCCCCCCCAAAAAAAAATTCAACACCTGATGAGCCAATGCTATTACATGTATCACTAGCTTTTCAGAAGAAATTTACGACTTCTCTAAACTCAAGGTATGCAGGGCAAAAAATCAAAAGCTCACATTTCTTTTTTAAACTCAGTCTTTAACATTTCTCTTCTCTATTGGTCACTTCATCAAAAAAAATTGGAACTTTAACCTTTGTAAAAATAAACTTCACATTGGAATTTGACTTTGTAGAAATAAAGTTTACTATTATGACCTCCATTAAATTGGCTAGCTGTGAAACAGAGTACAGCTTTCACATGGGGATATTAGAAAAAAAAAAAAAAAAAACAGAGAGAAGACATGATGTTTCTATTAGACAAGGACCTGTTAAATAAGTTATATTTTGCAGTAAAGAATAATGATTGATGGCATTGTGCATAAATAAAAATATTTAAAAGACTTGACAATATCATGGTATCAAGAAGTCCAAATATTTAGGAAGTAAGATTAGGATTGGGCTGGCATGGAATGCTTAGGAAGAAATATGTCAAGAGGCCATTTCAGATATAGTCAGAGCTGGCTCTCACCACTGGGAAATACAGACATCTTCATGACATTATAGGTCCCATTGAAAGTATTTAGGTATTTTGAATCCTTGCCTTGGATAGGAGGAGTCAAAGCAAGAACAAATGTGTGCATGCATGTGTGTATATGTAAGTTTGCCTATCTATAGCTTATAGAGAATAACATATATAGAGTAAGTACATTTATAAATGCAGAGAATGTCGTTTTCACATTTCATAATGCATTTTAATTGTGATCTTTGTATAACTGTGAGAAATCATTTTGAATAAAAATAAAAATACCTAGATTCTCTAAATCAGACAAGATCAAGAATTTCACACACCTTGCAGTGAAGGCTTTCTTACATCACTTAGCAAACTGAAATTACTTGCAAAAATGAGTAAAAGACATATTTCTAAACTCAAAACTTTAAAATATGGTAAGTCATATCCTGTGATAAAATATTTGTAGTAGTGGATAATTCTTATTCTTGAAAAAGTCTTTTTTCTTTGGACAACATTTACAGTTATAAAATCCTTCCCTATGGTCCTGAGAAAGAATTATTAAGACATTCCAAGGGGTAGTAGATAGCATACTGGTTATGTTTCCGGACTCCCACATGGCTTACTGTGGTTCAAGTCCTGGACCCAATGGCTTGAAATTCATGCTGGGCACATATGCATGCATGCCCAAGATCCCAGGAGGAGAACAGAGGAAAAGGGACTACAGTGTGGCCATCTGTCCGGAGGGTGATTTCTCACTTTCCCTCTCACTCTCTTCCCTCTCTGCCTCTCCTACACCAAGCACACATGTCCTAAGGCAAAGACCTCTTCAAAAAAAGAAAGAAAGAAAGAGAGAGAGAGAAAGAGAGAGAAAGAGAGAAAGAAAGAGAGAAGAGAAAGGAAGGAAGGAAGGAAGGAAGGAAGGAAGGAAGGAAGGAAGGAAGGAAGAAAGAAAGAAAGAAAGAAAGAAAGAAAGAAAGAAAGAAAGAAAGAAAGAAAGAAAAAGAAATACCCAAAGGTTTTATTAGCCTTTGAGTAAATACCAGGAAGTGGGATTACTAGGTCATATGGTAGTTCTATTTGTAGGTCTTTTTTAGGAACTTCCCTTTTGTTTTGCACAGAGGTTGTTCTAATTTACACTCCTACCAATAATATAAGAGGGCTCCCTTTTATTTCCTTCTCCCCCGCCCCCACGACTTAGATTATTCCATGGGGCACTTGCACTTGCCAGGAGAAGGGAAGTGAGAAATCATCCCCCAGGGAGGATGGCCACGCCACAATCCCTTATCCTCCATTCTCCTCCTGGGATCTTGGGCACACACACACACACACATGCCCAGCATGATTTTCAAGCCACCAGATCCAGGACTCGTACCATGGTGAACCATGTGGGAGTCCAGTACCTTAACCACCATACCACCTTCTGGTTCTGGGGGCTCCCTTTTCATCACTGCCTCACCAACAGCTGCCATTCAAAAACTGATGACTAGATTGAAAAACTGAGGCACATCTATACTATGGAATATTATTCAGCCATGTGAAACAATGAGACCCTATCATTTGGTTCAAAGTGAATGACAATAGAGAACTTAATGTTAAGTGAAGTGAGCCAGATTTTGAAATATACACACTGTATATCCCCACTCAGTATGTGCTGAATGTCTGCACTCTATGGTAGAAGTTGAAAGAATCAAAGGTATGATAGTAGAGAGGATAAGCATAATTACCAGAGACTGCAGGGAATGGGGAGTTGGTGGTACAGAATGGGTGGTAGAGGCTGGGTGAGAGGAGCACAGGGAAGAAACTTTTTTTTTTTTTAAGAGAGACTTTTGCTATAGGGTGCATGCACTAGCCAGAGAGACAGAGAGACAGAAAAGGAGAAAACAACCTCCACGGGGGATGGCCATGCTGCAATCCCTTCTCCTTCATTCTCCTCTTGGGATTTTGGGCATGCATGCACACGCGCCTGGCATGAGTTCAAGTTACTAGGTCCAGGACTCAAACTACTGTCAACTACGTGGGAGTCCAGTGACACAACAATTATGCCATCTGGTGGTCCCAAAGAAACATTTAATAGACAAAATAATGTAAAGTTCTCTGCTGAAAAAATAAGCCTGTAATTTTCACTTTATAAAAATAAAAATTAAGGGAACCAGCAGTTAGCGTAATGGCTGTGTTGCTGGACTCCCACGTAGTCGACCGCGGTTTGAGTCCCGGGCCCGGTGGCTTAAAACTCACGCCAGGCGTGTGTGTGTACGTGCCCAAGATCCCGAGAGGAGAATGGAGGAGAAGGGATTGCGGCGTGACCATCCCCCCTGGGGGGTGATTTCTCGCTTTCTGTCTCTATGTCTCTCCCTGTCTGTCTGGCAAGCGCACGCGCCCTATAGCGAAAAACCTCTCAAAAAAATTTAAAAAAAGAAATATCTAAAGTAATTTTGGTTAAGAAACACTATAAATATTGCTGCTAATATTTCCACTAAGCCCAAATGTATCTAACCAAATAAAATAAATCTTTTTTATAACTACAGCTTAACCAAAATGTCATTACTCAAATATTGTGTTTTATCAAAATTATAATAATGGGATGAAGTTTGGCTTCGATCAAACATTGAAGCCACATATTAACAAGTGAACATTATTTATCTATGAAAAGGAATGAATTAGGGATACATATTACATATGGATGAATCTTAAAAACATCATGACAAATATAAAAAGATAAACACAAAAGTCCACGGATTGTATAATATCATTTAGACAAAATGCACAGAATAAACAAATCTAATAGATTAAATATGGCTGAAAAGGGGATAGGGGATTAACTATTCATGAGTATGGAGTTTCTTTTGGATTAGATGACAGTGTTCTGGAACTAAATAAAAGTGATGGCCACATACTTCTTGTACATATTAAAAATCAGTGAAATGTATACTTAAAATGAGTGAATCTTATTGTGTGTAAATTATATATCAATTTTAAAATAACAGCCATATCTTAAATAATAAATCTTAAATAAAAGTCATTTTGCCAGGTATTGTTATCAAAGGAACTCTAAACTTAACAAGATGGCCAAATGCATATTACCTTTACCTATGTATATGTCTACAGGTTATGTAGTGAGAGGTAATGAATCATTCATAAATGTGAATTTGACTAAGGAATTTCTCACTAGATTTAAGTCCATGATCTTTGATCCCTGAAAATTTTTCATGTCTTTTTTTTTAATTCTACAGGAAAAGGCAGGTTTACTTCATGTGACTTGTACTTGCACTTATGAAAGTCCAGGAAATTTCAAACCCACAAATGGGCTCTTCAAAGAAAATCTGACAAGCTAAAATTATTATTACAGTATATTTCAAATATCCCAGGGTTTTCTTAGGTTTAATTTAAAACATACGGATCATATTCCATCTACTTCAAATGGTTCTGTTTTTTGCAAGTGACAATCACACATCTTAAAATACTGAAGCATAATTTATTACAATGACAGATTAATTTTGGAAAGATAATAGTATATAGATAAACCACACAAATATATTTTTTTCAGATAATAACTTCAAAATAAAAGTATAAAACATATTACTTCCCCAAGTATACATTAAAGAACTTCTGAGTTGAAAAAGAAACTCTATATATTATATAGTTCCCATACATGAAGAATCTTATATTATGCATTATAGTAGAATTGCTGTCACTGTTATATAATTCATATAGCTCAATTTCTGTAGTCTTATATATTATGTCAGAATTTTGAATGTCTTTTCTTACTTGCTATATGAATAAGTTCCAAGAACTATATGTAAATCTTGATTTTTAAGTTAAAGACAATGGTAATGTCTTCCAAACAGATAGAAATCTGATTTCTAATGTATGTTGAAGATTCATTAATTAAGTTGGTCTCATGACTTAATTTTTCATAGCAAAATTGCTTTATATGTATTTCTACTGACCAATGTTACCATAAATTTTATAATGTAATTATTGCATACATTTCTATGAGTGTGATAACACATAACTTTCATTATACACATAGATAACATAAAAAAATAATACTCACAGTTGTAACCAGGTGCAATACGATGTTGAGCTTCAAGGCTAGCCAAAGTGATGTGGAAAATGATGTGCAGCAACAAGAAGGAAAGACTGGTGAAGCACAGAGACTTCAATAACCGTCCCGTGTGTCCTAGGGAATAAAACACACAGAGACTGTGAGAAAAGATCAAACACACCAAATCTGCATCTACATATATGTTCTTGTGTAATCTAGTATGTAGATCTACTCAAAAGTTCATAAAGCGTAATTATCAGTCTATAGCTAACAGTTAACTTATTCCCTTTGTAACATACTACAGTTGTTCTTTACAAGGATTAAACACTCACTCCAATACAAAGATGCCTTCACACTTGTTATATGGCATGCTACAGTGAAACTCATAAAAAAAGGAAAGTATTATGAGGAAATGTTGACAACTTCAGAGTAATGAATAAACGCTATATTATAAAATTACTTCCAGAAAATAGAAAAAGGAAAGTTATGTTAACATTTTATTAAATTAGAATAACTTTAATTTCAAAATTAAATAAACCTAGGAAAAGAAAATTATAAGCTAGTTTTACTTAAGAACATAGCTATAAACAATAAAAAATGATATTTACTAACCAATTGGAATAGTATTGTAAAAATATAATGCATTATAATGACCTAGGATTTATTGTAGGAAAGCAGTGGGGTTTAACATTAGCAAGTCTTCAAGTTAAATTCACATTTTCACAATAAATACAAAAGAAACATTTCATAAAGTTCAAAATCTATTTATGATAAAGAGAAATAAAACTAAGAAAATTAGCAATAGAAGAAAACATCCTTTGGGACCAGCAGATGGCGTAATGGTTATGTCACTGGACTACTACATAGTCGACCATGGTTCAAGTCCTGGAACCAGGGGCTTAAAATTCACACAGAGCACATGTGCATGTGTGCCCAAGATCCCCAGAGGAAAATAAAGGAAAAGGGGTTGTGGCATGGCCGTCCCTGCCTGATTTCTCACTTTATGTCTCTCTGTCTCTCTGGTAAGCACACATGCCTTACAGCAAAAATTTCTCAAAAAAAAAAAAAAAAAAAAGAGGAAAGGAAAACATCTTTAAAACATTTATACCATAACTACAGCAAATGTCCTGTTTATTGATGGAATTTTGGACACCATCCCCCAACAATGTCAAAGAATGATCAAGGATATTTTATATCGCTGCTACCAATTAACAATGCCAAAGTCATAAAATAAGAAAAAGAATGAAGAGTCTTAATAACTAGAATTATTTGCAAATACTATGTTCAAATATAATTATTTTTAAACGATATAATCACCAATATAATAAAAGAAAATACAAGCAGCTAGATCAAATAGAAAAATTCAAGAAATGATTTATATATAAGATACTCTTATAAAAATCAATATACCTCCTCCAAATTAGTAATAATTGAGTAGAAAATTAGCAAACGAAACTGTACTGTGATAGTTTTGTTACTGTGTTAATTGGCAAGGCTATAGTACACTTAATACTTAATCAAACACTAATCTAGGTGTTGCTGTAGTTTCCACAGATGTCATTGAATTACATAATCAACTGACTTTAACTAACTGAAAGTATTCCCTATAATCTGGAAAGGCCTGATTCAATTAGTTGGAAGGCTTGGAAACCAGGCTGAAGTAAAAGAGAGACAGATAGACAGAGAAGGAATTGTTATCTGTCAAGAGTAAACTCAGCTTGTGCCCATGAATTTCAAGTTGCCTGTGATCTTCCCTTCCTGACAGCCTACCTGTGGATTGTAGACTTCCTTAGCCAGCCACATAATTAATTGTGTAAGACAATTCTTTTTTTATTTTTTATTTTTTATTAATTTTTTTGGAGAAGTTTTTGCTATAGGGCACGTGCACTCGCCAGAAAGACTGAGACAGAGAGATAGAAAGAGAGAAATCATCCCCCAAGGGGGATGGCCACACTGCAATCCCTTCTCCTCCATTCTCCTCTTGGGATCTTGGGCATGTACACACAAGCACCTGGTGTGAGTTTAAGCCACCAGGTCCAGGATTCAAACCGTGGTTGACTACATGGGAGTCCAGCAACATAGTCATTATGCCAACTGCTGGTCTCCAGTAAGAAAATTCTTGTAGTAAACCTTAGATGATAGATAGATAGACAATAGATAGATAGGTGATAGATAGATAGATATAGATATAGATAGATGGATAGATGATAGATAGATAGATAGATAGATAGATAGATAGATAGATAGATATAGATAGATGGATATAGATATAGATAGATAACTCCGAGGAGTACTGCTATCCTGGTTGAACTTAGATGTATTAAAAGTATTTGAAAATTTGGACCAGCAGAGGGCATAATGGATACATCCCTGGAATCCCACGTAGTCGACTGCAGTTCGAGTCCTGAGTCTGGTGAATTAAAACTGCCAAGTGCATATGCATATGTGTGCCCAAGATCCCAGGAGGAGAATGGAAGAGAAGGGATTATGGCATGGCCATCTCTTCAGGGGGTGGGGTGGATTTCTCACTTCCTGCCTCTGTCTCTCCAATGAATGCATGCACCCTCTAGTAAAACTATCTCTAAGAAAAAAGTATTTAAAAATTATCCTAACAAAGAGTACCCAAGACCTCTATAGACAAAATTGTAAAAAGCAGATAAATAAGAAGATACAAATAAATAGGCTACATTCATAAATGAGATAATATGACAAAAAATGTCAATTATTTTCCAAGTTTAGTCTATAAATTTCATACAATTTCAAATAAAGTGCCAACAGAAGCTTTTATACCTTCAACAAACGTATTTCAAAATACATAAAAAGTAAAGCTTTTGAGGACCAGCAGATGGTGACGTGGTTAAAGCAGCTGGATTCTCATGTGGTAGATCATGGTTTGAGTGCTAGACCCAGTGTCTTTAATGAGAGGAGAATGGAGGAGAAGGTGTTGTGGCATGGTTATCCCCCCTGGGGGGGGGTTATTTCTCACTTTCTCTCTATCTCTTCCTGTCTCTCTCCTCTCTGGAGAGCACATATCCAATGGCAAAAACCTAAAAAATAGAAATAAAAATAAAAAAAAGGAGGGGGATACTTTGAGGATCTCCATAAGCTCTATTTAAAAACATATTTGGAAGAATAAAACTCTATGAATTACCATGCCAATTTTGAAATTTTAAGAAATAATATGAAAGTATATAAAAATAAATAAATGAAGCTTAAAAAAAAAGAAATAATGTGAAAAGTGGGTAAAGTTGATGTGTTCTAACAGACATTAAGATGTGTCATAAACTGGGACCAGCAGTCAGCGTAATGGCTATGTCACTGGACTCCCATGTAGTCGACCACGGTTCGCGTATCTGACCTGGTGGCTTAAAACTCACGCTGGGTGCGTATGTATGCGTGCCCAAGATCCCGAGAGAACAGAGGAGAAGGGTTTGCGGTGTGGCGATCCCCTCTGGGGGGTGATTTCTCACTTTCTGTCTCTCTGTCTCTCTCTATCTGTCTGGTGAGCGCACGCGACCTATAGCAAAAGCCTCTCAAAAAAAATTTTTTTTTTAAAAGATGTGTCATAAACTCATAAGTTAAAACAGAAACCAAAGGAGCCAGCAGATGGCATAACTCCAGCCATACATTGCTGGACTCCAACATAGTTGACTGAGGTTCAAGTTCTGGACCTGGTGACTTGAACTCAAGAAGGGCACATGTGTGTGTGTATGCCCAAGATCCTGAGAGAAGAATGGAGGAGCAGGGATTGCAGCATGGTCCTCCCTTGGAGGGGAGTGATTTCTTACTTTCTGTCTCTCTCTGTCTTTCCAGGAAGCACATGAACCCTAGAGAAAACAATCTCTCCTTAAAAACAAAATTGGGACCAGCAGTTGGTGTAATGGCTATGTCGCTGGACTCCCATGTAGTCAAATGCAGCTCGAGTCCCGGACCTGGTGGTTTAAACTCACGCCAGGTACATGTGTGTGTGTGCCCAAGATCCCAAGAGAAAAATATAGGAGAAGGGATTGTAGTGTGGACATCTCCCCTGGGGATGATTTCTCACCTTCTGTCTTTCTGTTCTCTCTTTCTGGCAGGTGCACATGCCCTATAGCAAAAACCTCTCCAAAATAAAAAAATAAAAATAAATAAATAAATATTAAAAAAAAAAAACCTAGATTCCTTATGAGGAGTGGAAAAGGTCAAATTAAGTATTATATATTGTTCAGAAACCAATTTATTTATATTAACTTGATAAATGTCAAAACTGACTCTATATAGGAGTGATAATATCAAGATGTCAGAACAGGAAGTTCCAGCCCTTATGTCTTCTTGAAACATTTAGGTTGACAACATAGTGATTTAAACATGGTCCTGGCATAAAAATGGACATAAAGACCAATGGATCAGAAATGAGAATAAACTCAAATGAATAGTCAACCAATTTTTGATAAGGGCTTAAAGAATACAAAATGAAGAAATGAGAGTATTTTCAATAAATGGTATGGGAAAAACTGGATATTCCAATGTAAAAGAAAAAAAACTTAATTGGACTTTTATATTACACTATATGCAAAAACTAACTCAAAATACATTAAAAATCTGAAGCTATAAAAGATCTAGAAGAAAACATAGAAAAAAAATCTCTTTGATATTGGTTTTTGGCAATATTTTTGCCTATGACACCAGCACGGACAGTAAAAGCAAAAATAAATGGGACTATTCCAAACTAAAAAGATTTTGCACAGCAAAGGAAACAATAATCAAAATGAAAATAATTCCGATGAAATGGGAGAAAATATTTGCTGAAACCATATTTCTGAAAAATGGCTAATATCCAAAATATATGAGGAAACCATCCAACTGAGTAACAACTGAATATCATAAAAACAAATAACCATATTAAAAACTGAGCAAAGAAACTGAGTAGACATTTCTCCAAAGATGTCATACGAATGGCCAATAGTATACAAAGAAACTGCTCAACATTGCTAATTATGCGTGAAATGCAAATATAAACCACAATTGAATACCATCTCTACTGTGATCTGATGTGTCTTCCCAGATTCACATATTGAAACTTAATTGCCAACATGATAGTATTAAGAGGTGAAGACTTTAGATTATAATTTAATCTTAAAGGTTGATCGAATGCT